CTACTGAGCCATCTCCCCGGCCCTTACTTATTTTATTATTATTTTTGAATTTTAGGGAAGGGTCTACAGGGTGTTCAAGGGCCTCACTACTAGATCGGACTCATAATGAGCCTCCTGTTTACAGCCTCTCAAGAGCTGGGATTACAGGCGTGGGGCCCCAGGCCCAGTCTCAATTGCTGACTTAGCGTGCCCCGGGAGTAGGGCCAGCTCGGTAGGCCCAGGGATCGAACCCCCGGCCTCTGTGCCTGCTTGCAGACGCTTTAATCCGCTGAGCCAGCTCTACGAAATTTAAATCTTTCCTTTTCCTTGTACGCTCATTTATTTTCATCCTCAGTACACATTGAAGAAAGTGTTGTTGAATCCACTAAAAGCTGGCTTGAGGCTGCCTCCTGCCTTCAGTTCTGCGTTTAGCTTTTGGCCTGTTTACACACTGACTTAGAAGCACACCGGCCAGCTCTGACTCAGCCAGCCGTAACCAGCCCACCCGCCAGTGGGCACCAAGCTCCAGGAAGGCAGTGTCCGGCTGCAGCCCGCCGGGTGAGCCGTGCTTGCTCCTGGGCTGGCTGACATGCCTGCTGCACGGAGCTCTCCGAGCGTCTCCTGGCGGGCGTGCCACCAGACTCAGGAATGACTCTTTGCTCAGATTCGTTCTTCTGAAGTTAACTCTTCTAATGTTTTCCTTTTAATTCTTTTGTAGAAAACTCAGAATTGTTCTTAAGTCCTTGGTCTCTAAAACCTTCTGTGAGGTCTTGGGCAGGTCCAGACTTTTATAATTTAATTCTAACCTCTTGCCTTTTGCCTAATAAAATAAATATTTTAGCATTCAGGATACATCTGCTTTTATGTTTTGTGTGTGTGTGTGTGTGTGTGTGTGTGTGTGTGTGTGTAACCGGGGATTGAACTCAGGCCCTTGCACTTGCCAGGGAAGCACATATTCCACTGAGCCATCTCCCCAGCCCCTCATCTGCTTTTATGTATCTATGACCAGAAAATAAATACAAATTGCTTAATATGCCAGGCACAGGTACCTGCTTGTGTATCTCAGCTTTCCCTAGTCTTCCCGAGGCTGCTTGTCTCTAGGTCAAATATTCTCAGTTTTTTCCAGTGGCATTTATTTGATTGATTGATTGATTTGTCTTTTTGATTTTTTTTTTTTGCTCCGAATGCCTTCAGGGCAGGTTTGGCTGGCTTGAGTTGTGGGGATTGAACCCCAGCAACCTGAGCCTGACTGCTTTGTTGAAGCAGCCACTTAAAGAACTGAGCTAAGGGGCAGGCCCCCTGATTTGTCTTTTTGAAACAGGGTCTTGATATGCAGTTCAGGCTGGCCTGGAGCTCACTTCATAGCCCATGCTGGTGACAACACACAGTCATCCTCCTGCCTCAGCTTCCTGAGTGTCTAATGGCCTTTTTTATACACCAGGTTTTTGTTTTTGTTTTTTTAACTAGATCAGTTCCAATGCCAACTTTCTAGTATTTGCTGTATAAAAGCCCTGGTATTAAAATAAAGTGACCTGTATAATTTTTGAAGAATTGAAATGAACTACTTAATTAAAAAACATATACGGTTGATCATGCCTTGGAATTTGCTTCCATTCCTGAATATAGCAATACCATAAGCACATCCTAGGTAAATATTAAAAGACTGACAGTGTAGTATCTTTGCTAAGTAAAATAAAACTTCGTGTTATCTTTTTCTCAGTGGTTGTGTAGTGTTAGCGCATATTCTAGGTGTAGTGTCAGGTAAGGCACTGGGTCAGTTGTGTGTCCACTCAGCAGGGATTAAGGGCTGGTTTAATAGGATTTTTCAGGTTTTAAAATGAGCTTCGAAGCAAGGGAAAAGAAAACCCAGCACAAATATTGTTTCAAATGAAAACATCACCAAAGCAAGCCCTTAAGGGAGAGCTGTGTTGGAGACAGAACTGTCCTCTGAGGGGCAGAGTATTCAAAACAGCGTACACAAATCTAGGAAATAATTTAGGCATTAAAGGTAAACCTAAAATGCCATGGGCTGGCCAGATAGCTCAGCAGATTGAAGGACTTGCTTAGGGAGGCAGCAGCCGGGGTTCAATCCTGGGCATGCCACGTCGGCCTCCCCCCCAGGGCGCAATGAGACAGGGATCAAGACTGGGCATGGTGGCGCATGCCTGTAATCTCAGCTCTTGGCAGGCCCAACACAAGCGTATCCCTATGAGTCCAATCTACATAGTGAGACTTGGCAGACCCTGTAGACCTTGTCCTAAAATACAAAACAAAAACAAAAATGTCACAACTAGAAGAAAATATAGGAGATAAATTTTATGGTGCTGAAGCAGGCAAGAATTTTTGAATAAGTCTCCAAACGTCCAGGAAACAAAAGCAAAAATACACAGATGGGATTAAAACAAACCCAAAAGCTTCTGTGCCACAAAAGAAATGAAAGAATAGTGAAAATACTTGCAAACTAAATTTCTGATAGAGGTGGACTTCTAGATTATAAGGAAAGCAAAAATATCAGTACCATAAAACCTAAGTAACTCCAATTAAAAGTGGTAAGGGACCTAGACACACATCTCTTACAAGAAGACAGAGATGAGCCTGGTTTGGAGAGCAGGTTCTCACATTTTAGTGGTTAGGGGATCTTGGGCTCAATCGTCAGTATGAAAGAAACAAAGCAAGAAAGCAAGAAAGCAAGAAAGCAAGAAAGCAAGTCCAGATGCTTTCTCATCACTTAAAATGATCATTCACTAGATTTAGTTTTTTGCTCAACGATTTCTTCATAAAAGTGAAGGAAAATAACATTCACTGAGTTGGGCTTTTTCAGATGTATTGCTTTGAGACAGGGTGTCCCTGTGCAGTTCAGGCTGGCCTTGAGCTCACTCTGTAGCCCAGGCTCATCTTGAACTTTCAGTGATCCTCCTGCCTCAGCCTTCTGATGAGACCTGATCACAGGTCTGTGCCACCATGCCCAGCTATATTCTCATTCTTGAAAAGAAATTATTGCTCAGACAGGTTATGCTGAGGGAACGCATTGAATACATGACAGAGAAGGAACTCCAAAGAAAGAGAAAAGGGTGAATACAGAGACCACTAACAACATGCTTTTAAAGATTGCTTCTTGGAGCTGGAGTTCATGTTAAGTTCTGGCTCTGGACACTTTCTCTTCTGTGTGGCTTCAAATCTATGTAAAAATAGAATAATCAGTCCTACTTTGTAAGAATCTGGAAAGGATTAAGGTGGTGATATATTTAAAACACTTAGTGTCCTTCACATGTTAATAATATATCCCTAATCCTAAATAACAATAATAAAAAATAAGAACTTTGGGCTCAGACCATAGAGATTACTTAGAATTATTTTGGGGAAAAATGTATCAGTGAATGATTTTTCTATGGACCATGAGAACACAGGTACTCTGAGCTCACTTATAACTATGGAAAGGGACACTGACTTTTCAGGCAAAATATGACCAGTGAAGTTTGGGAAGAGGAAGAGGGAATGCCACAATTTAGAGACAGTAGCCCCAATCCAAGCCGCAAGAATATTCCTTAATGGATACGTTCCAGTTACTGCCATCCAGACTTAGATGAGCAGTAAGTCCTTCCCCAAATGCAGAGCAGGGTTTACATACAGGAAACTGGAGTCTGGCAGAGATGAAATAGGAGGAAAGTGCACAGCCTTGAAGGAAGCTAGCTTCACATCCAGCTGCTTTGAACAGGCAACAGCTCTGGAAGCATCATACAGCTCAGTCTGTAGTCCTGCGTAAAGAAAGACAAAAAGGTAAGCACTTTATTTGAAGCAAGAATGAAATTAGTCATACTGTCTTCATACTGAGTATCATGAGTGACACCAGCTTGCCATTTTGTCTTATCCTAACTATTATATATTTACTTATTAATTATTAGCTATTCTCTGGGATTTTCAAATTTTTGTTGAATTTTTCCAATCAATCCCCATTATGTTGCCCACTGTGATCACCTAGCTTGATTTTTTTTTTTTTTGAGACAGGGTCTCACTATGTAGTGCAGGCTGGTCTTGAACTCACTGTGCAGCCCAGGTTGGTCTCAAACTCACAGTGATCCTGCTTCCTCAGCCTCCAAAGTGCTAAGATTACAGGTGTCATGTCCCACCACATGTGCCTTCATCTGCCATGATCTTTCATGGACATTTCTGTTGTAAATATTCTATGGGAAATGAATATTTTTTGGTAAAGTTATACTTTGTTTTTTTCTTCATTTCTAAGATTGGCCTTAAATTCCTTGAAGCAACAATATTTTATAGCTTGCAAAGTCTGTGCTGGAAACAACTCTATGTGAGTTTGGGTTTGTTTGGTGTGGCAAGAGAACTTTTAAGCTTCTCGTCCAGCCTGTTGCCAAAATACTCATTACAGTATTAAAGATACAAATTTGATGTTAGTAGGTGTCATACCTTGTATCTAGACGTGCCCCCCCCCCCGTACCCCCGCAAAAGCCTCCTGCACTCATAGGTAGAGCTTTTCAGAGCTGGCTGGACCTTAAGGATGTGTGATGCTAAAGCAGTCCATTGATTGGAATTAGCATAGCTCTGGGTGGGGCTGAGCGGATTAATTGAAGAAAGAAGTTCAACCTGGGTATGGGGGGACCCACCCAAAAGGTTTGTAGTCTGTCTAGGATGAAAGGGAAAGGCAGACCACTTCTGCTGCTTCTGGCTTCCTGTCTGCTTTGTCATGAACTGCGGTGCCCACTGCCACACCGCAATGCCAGCAGCACACTATGCATGGAAATGTCTACAGACTGAAACGTAATTAAGACAGTGAGTTTACATTGAGCTCACCTCACCTGGATTCCACTTACCATAGCTATAATGTCATTTATAAATCTTTATTCAGTATTTGGTATACATAAAACACTGTTTTGGGCACTGATTCACAGTGGTAGACAAAAATGGTATGCCCCTGCCTGGGATGGTTGTGGACACCTATACTTTCAGCTGCTTGGAGGTGCAGGCAGGAGGATGCCAAATTTGAGGCCAGCTTGAGAAACTTAGCGAGAACCTATCTAAAACAAACAAAAATTAAAGGGCTGAGACAATGCTTAGAAGTAGAGCACCCTTGGGAGAAGTAATAGCCTGTCTCCTATTTCCAAAACCCCATCTTATTCTTAGTTTTTTAATTTTATAATCATTATTTAATTGAAATATTAAGAGTGGCCACCTTGTTCTCTATCTTAATATCACTTCTACTTATAAAGCCTCTAGACATAAGTCCCTCATTGGGCATCCCATAACATTTCAATTTCAACAATAATAACAGCCAAAAGGTAAATCATTAAAATATGGAGACACATACATATTACGTTGATGTACTCTCTATAATGGCAACTCACTTAGAAAAACAGGTAGAATTAATTGTACTCACTTCTCCTTTATTTTGCTAGCTTTGGCCTTTCTTCCCCATTCAGTTCTTTATTTATTTATTTTTATTATTATTATTATTTTTTTGGTGGAACTGGGGATTGAACTCAGGCCCTTGTGCTTGCCAGAGAAGCGCTTATTCCACTGAGCCATCTCCCTGCCCACCTCCCATTCAGTTCTTAATGGGAGATTTTCATTCCCAGTGTTGAACAATGGTGGAACAAGAAACCCACAGATATGCACATTGCCTTCTTAAACACTTTTGCAAAACCACAATCTAATTTGTAAGCTTTTATTATAAGTGAACAAGCCTTCTCATTTTCCATAAATATCGAATTCATTCTAGGAAGAAATGCAATTTAATATTTTATCAAATAGCAGAATGATGAATTTATTGACCTCTTGAAGATACTTGTGATTATTTGTCATTTTCAACTCTGTTTAAATTCCTTAGCTCAGTGGAGCAGCACCTGCCCAGTGAGTCTGAGCTCCTGAGTTCCTTTCCTGGCATCCAGCCCCCAGAACCTTGACTCTTCTTTAAAATTTGGACCAGCTAGTATACCTCTGATCAAGGACTAACAGGTGTTGTCTGTGCAACAAGACCTTTCTGTAAAATCTTTTATGAGTCATCTGTGAGCTTATGAAGAGAACACATTAAAGTATGTAAAATTAGTTGTGTTACACCTTGGGAAGTTATTTTATTTATTTATTTATTTTTATTTTTATTTTTTTTTAATTTATTTATTTATTGTTGTGTATGTGTGTGTGTGGCCAGCTCAGCCCACCAGGGGGCGGGGCAGGCTGGCATGTGGTGCTGGGGATTGAACCGCGGTCCCTGTGCATTGCTAAGCTTGTTCTAAGTAGGTGCTTTAGACCACTGAGCCATCCCACCAGCCCATTTTATGTATTTTTAAAATAGACTAAAAATAGTGAAAAAAAACAGAAACAATGCAGAATTTCACTAAACAAATAATAGGAATTCAACAAAGTTCTTTATATTGCATATTGTTGAGTTCATATTAGCTGTTTAGTTTACCAGATATAAGCATGCACAATTGGTGAAAAGTTACACAAATTAAAAAGGACAGAGAAAAGAAAACAAAAATGTAAGCTTTAACTGTTTCTTTCAATAGACCAGCAGAAATCAGAAGTACAATCATCCAAGCTATCCTGTATATGTACATAAATATTTCTTTTTTTTCTGATTAAATACATTTTTAAATTTTTATTTATTTTTTTTCCCATAATTTTATTGACAGGCAAATAGCAATGAGACAGTTTCAAATCAAATTGGTAGGACAGTTTCAATAATTAACACATTGCATATTGTCTTCCTAATGGTTATTTGCTGTAAAAAATATGGAACGCTTCACGAATTTGCGTGTCATCCTTGCGCAGGGGCCATGCTAATCTTCTCTGTATTGTTCCAATTTTAGTATATGTGCTGCCGAAGCGAGCACTTATTCTTATTTTCAGTCTGACTCTTTATTGACTGAATCATCTAAGACTGTCTATCCTTCTTCCATGTGTACTACCTTTTTTCTTTCCTCTTGTGAGCCACTTTTTGGCATGGCCTTGAGACTGTCTCTTGAAAAATAGATGCGGTGGCATATTGAACAGAGTGTCATGTCTGAGCCTTAACTCTTCTCTCAGGGAATTAAACCTCAGAAATTGGCAAGAAAGTTAATGCTGCTAAAATTACGGATGCTCTGACTAGCAGTCAATTTTGTAAAACTGATTTACATCCAAGTAACTCAAAAGATTTTCTGTGAGAAAAAAATAGGCAATACCAATTAAAGCTATTTTGTAGAACAGTCAAAAATGGTAAGAACATAGAATGTATGCATATGTTTTTGAACGTGTAATATATATATATCCTCTCTATATATCTAACATATACACAAACTAAACAAAACTAGACTGCATTGTGTATGTCTTACACTTAATCTCACCTTGTATTTGAAAAACTTGATCCCAGTTAATAACATCCTGTTCTTCCAGTAGCTGTTGGTAAGCCCTGACATCCTTGTAGAATACAGCGTAAGCATTAGTGTAATGGTCCAGGTAATCTGCCTCAGCCTAGAACAGACACAGTCAGTGAAACAAACCCTCCAGTAACACAAATCCTAGGAGAGTAAGAATCGTTAGCTGGGCATGGTCAGCTCATTTTCCATTATCCAAGTTAACCACCTAAAAACAATGAGGTGAGAATGATGCTGACATGCTATAGAAAGAAGTCAAAATTTCCTGATTTTTGTTTCATTTTTTTGTTCTTTTCATGGTAGAAAGGCTTTAAGACATTTATTTCACATTCTTCTAGGAGTCTATTTATCTATAAAAATATAGAAAGACTTGGTGTGATGTCACATATCTGTAGTCCCAGCTGAGGGAGACTCTTGGGAGGCTGAGGCATGGGGATCCCTTAAACCCAAGAGTCTGAGGTCCTCTTGGGCAACATAATGAGACCCATCTCAAAAATAAAAACAAGCAAGTAGGGGTGTGGTACTGCGGCTCAGTGGCAGAACGTTTTCCTAGCAGGGACAAGGCCCTAGGTTAAATTTGTAGCTCCACTCATACACACAAATATTTAAATGGATGGGTGGATGAATGGAAGCATGGATGGATGGGTGGATAGACGAAGAGTAAAACTAAATGAATCCTCCTTTAAGAATCAAAGCTCTTGGAATCTTCCTCATGGAGTGCATTAGGAGGGCTGCACCTCCTTGGTGAGGAGCTTCCTTTTGGCCTCAGAGGCAGAATGGAAGTATGTGTCTTCATCTTCTTCATTTACCCGCATGAGGAATCATCCACCCAGTGGAAAAGCTAGGATGCTCCCATCAGTCAAGTGTGCTAAAGATTAGGAAGCACTAAAGAAATACTTTGCATTGGATGCCTTTCATATGCCATTCACAGTAGAAACTAATGGAAACTGGGGCCAGGGAGATGGTTCAGTAGAATAAGCACTTCCCTGGCAAGCGTAAGGGCCTGAGTTCAATCCCCAGTTCCACCAAAAAAAAAAAAAAGAAAGAAAGAAATTAATGGTGAAATATGTAGCTTATATAATTATTATAGTTATAATATTTACTTTACCTAATCCATTCTTTCTAGTTAATTCCAGTTCTTTTTTTTTTTAAACTGGGGATTGAGAGACCAGAGCAATAGCTCAGTAGAATCCCTGACTGAAATCCCTGGTTCTGAAAAAAAAAACAAACAAAACAAACCTGGGGATTGAACTCAGGACCTTGCACTTGCCAGGTGCCAGTTTGTATTTATTTGCCTTCTAAACCTGTACCTCTCTCTGTCGCCGAGTGATGATAGCTTTAAAGTCTGGCCATGAATCCAACACAACTTCCTTTTGAAAGGGATTCCCACGGTTTATGTTCATAACTGCTCCATAAACCTGCGCAGGAAAACCAAAGAGATGAACCAATAACACTGCTAGATGGTGCAGTTGTAAATTACCGCCCTTCCCCTCCTTCTTCTATGTATCTACACCAAGGAGAGGGTAGGTTATAAATCTATATATCTTCATTGTTATTTCATCAGAGCTTATAAAAACTGGTAAAAGTTTATTAAAGCTCAATGAAAACACCCTAAACCTAGTTTTGTTTTTTTTCTTTTACAACACCATAGTGATAAATACTAAATTGCTAGGCTTTCTAGGTGAATTCTTGACACATAAATCAGTAACAAATATTCTAGTCAGATATATACACATACATAGCTTCTTTGGCAGTTCACTACACTATCTGAAAAGAATTTGTAAAATGCAGTTGCTCCTAAATAAGAATTACTTATCTCTTGAGGGCAAAATATCTAAGTATCCAGCAACAGTGGAATGAGTAAATGGTGCCATATTTGTACTATAGGTTACAAAACAGCAATGAAATGAACAGATCAGTTATATACATGGACTCACTATAAATCTCACAAAAGAAGCTGTGTAAAAGAAGCTAGATACAAAAAAAAAAAAAATACTGTGTGATTCACTGTGTGATACTACATTAAAAACCAACCAAACTAGGAGCCGGGGAGATAGTTCAGTGGAATAAGCACTTGCCTGGCAAGCGCAAGGACCTGAGTTCAATCCCTGGTTCCGCCAAAAACAACAACAACAACAACAACAAAAAAAAAAAAAAACAAACTAAATGATGACTTTGGATGTGGGAACAAGAAGTGATTGGAAAGAAGTGTTGGAGTTGGGAACAAGCTGTACCTGTACCCAAAGTAACGTTCTTTCTCTTCCACAGTGGATACTACATGAGTTTTTGCTGGGTGAAAATCCAAAAGCTACAGAATTATGCTGTTTATGCTTCATCAGATGCACTAGATTTCAATAAAAACTGAATTATAAGGGCCTAGAACCTGTATTCTAAATGAAGAGGGGAGGAGGGGTTGAAGCAAAGGTAGGGGAATGGAAAATAAAGCCAAAGTTTATTGTGTACAGGTATAAATTTTCCATGAAGAATATGATCATTATACATATCTAAAATGTACCAATAAAAATCTGATTTTGAAAAAGAACCTACATTTTACCTCCTTGATCACTACCTTAAACCAAATCACTCACTTTCCTTCAGGCTAAAGGAAAATTTTTCTTTTGTTTTACCCAATCTAGGACTTCATTCAAATATTCTCATAGAATGTGTCTTTCCAAATGGACTCTGGTTTATGGTAGCATTTCACACGCATCATCCTTAGGGCAAACCCAAAAGGAAAAGCAACCGGGAAGGGTCATGGTTGTTACGCTAGTCTTTAAATTCGGTGCCTTCTCATTTTACATAGAAAGAGCGATGCGTATTAAAATGGTTTCACAAGAGAAACCTTTGCATCCCTATTCAAAACTGTAGCCTAAATATGACTGTAATTCTGACTGCTAAAAGGGGAAAAGATCTTTCAATATTCAAGTTCTTTTTTTTTTTTTTTGTGGTACCAGGAATCCAAGTCAAGACCTTGCACTTGCCAGTCAGGCACTCAACAATTCAAATTTTAAAAGAGAAATAACTTATTTGTACAAGAATTGGAACAAGTAAAAGATTTGGCTTTGGCAAATAGAAAACTCTTCTAATAGCTGTTTCTTTAAAGTGAGTGTTGGAAAGAAAAGTGAGCACTGAGTTTGGCAGGGCGGGAGGTGGCTATGTGGAAATGCAGTTGCTGAACAAATCAGAAGCTAAGGCTGGGAAAGGCCACTCAGAAGGGTCACCCCTCAAGCCCTAAACTGAGCATACAAATCACAGTCATAAACTCCAAAGAATAGGGGAAGGGTGAACGAACACAACTGTATTTTCTCTAACTCTTAAAATCTCTAATGATAGGTTATGGCTGTAGTATGAATTGCTGAATTATTGTGGTGGTCATCTAATGTGGCTGAAGCCCTTAAAACAACAGCTTATCTTCCCAGAGACCACCTCCCCACTTCTCCAACTCAGCACAGGGCGCAGTTTCCTCTCATCTTTCCTGCTGCCTCAGGGAAGGCCCCAGTCAGCTGCTCAGGTCTATCTAAACATCCCCTTCAAACTCCACCCTTGGCAGAAAGCCATAAAAGCCTCAGCCTCCCTTTGTTCCAACCCAGAGAATTCCTTATCTTCCCAAATTCTCTCCGTGTCCTCCATGGTAATGAAGCTCCTTTCCCTTTATAATAAAGCCCCTTTCCCTTCTTCCTTCTGCCTATTTCTCTGCTGTGACACGGTGAAAAATCTATCACTTAACATCTTTTATGGCTTTGTAAAGGTCACTGAAACCTTTTCAAGTTATCTCTTGCAGAACAGTTAGACACATTATTAAAGCAGAGAAGCCTAGTATTTTATCCCATTAATTCACCTTGGTGTGAATATTCAAAATGGGAAAACTTGGACCAGCCTGTCTACAAGCTACTTTTATAACCTCATAATCCCAAATTCTTAGTCACATTCTTCCTCCTGCGGTTTATGCACACTCATTCAGATGACTAGATGTAATCAATGCAGTACATCGCTCTAGGCAACTACATTTGAAATGTTAACATACAGCAGGATTAACTGGGGCATTAAATGTTGGGCTCTGGTCTCTAATCTCAAAACTTGATTCATTCTCTTCTGGGTGATTTGCTTTCTATTCACATTTGAAGAACAGTTGGAGGCCTGCCTCTTTTCAAAAAACAACCCTCAAAGGAACTTCACTGCCTTTCTCCCAGGGCCTTACAGCAGTTGCCCCTTAACTGTACTGAATTGGAGCCTTTGGTGAATGACATCTTCCACAGTAGCACTGAGTTATGCACAGGTTCTGCTGGATTTTAGATCAAAGTTTGATGGCTGACAAAATAACTGGAAAAAAAAAAAACAACGTATAGCAACCCTTAAACTTGAGATCCGTTGGGCACCCTAGGTGGTATTCCTAACTTTATTGCTACCCAATCCTTACCCTTATGTTACTTAAAACATTTTATAACTTACTAAAAATAATATAGCTCAGCTATATCTAAAATTCCCAGGCTGGGGAGATAGTGCAGGGGCATAAGCGCCTGCCTGGCAAGTGCAAGGTCCTGAGTTTGATCCCTGGTACTGCAAATAAATTAATAAAATAAAATAAAATAAAATTCCCTTGGGGTCATGAGAAATAATCCCAAGTTTTATTCCATTACATCAGTCTCTAGTAGGAAAAAACTGGGAAATTATGTTTAACAAATGTTCTCAGAGTTTTATTAGAAAAAAAGTGGGAAGCAGTCACAAGCCTGACATTACTTTAAAGATTAATACAATAAAGAAATTAAATTCTCACACTTATAGTACCTTGAGTGATTCAGGAAAGTGATTCTTCAATATTTTCTCCAGTGCCAATAATTTGGAAGAACAGCTCAGCACCAACATCTTCTCCACAGGGATGCAGTTCCACCCTTAGTTAGAAACTTGAAATGCACCTACAATATATGAATGGCAATGGAATACACATCTCTAACAAAGTAAACAAAAAAGGGGGATATAAATGAAGGACCATTTTGTAGTGAAAAAATATATCTATCTGTATATACAAAATAGCATAGATATATAGCTACTTTCTCTTAGTTCAATGAGAAGAAAGTTTTGAACTAACAGTGTTTAGATAAGATACCATGTCTTGGGGAAACTACCCGCTCGGGGACCCCCTCCTGTCCCTCTCTTGGACAGGAGCTTTCTTTCTCTCAGTAAATATATTCTGCTCGTAAAAAAAAAAAAAAAAAGATATCATGTCTGCATCTTGTACTATGAATAATTACTACAAAGACAACAATATTCAATGTATTATTACAACTGTCCTACTAACCTGTTTTGAAACTGTCTCATTACTACTTCTTTCTCAATA